ACTCGGGATACGCCCAGAGTCACAGAACGGATTAAGTTCGTATCCCGAGGTACCACTGTAGCAAATTGTGGTTAGCCATGAATTAGAAAGTAGAGAAAATGTCATAGCTTGCAAGGGGAAGCAAGGCCTATAAAGCCCCCAATTCATTCATGTAATAATCAATTTAACCACAAAGTGGGAGATAAATCTGAACTGATTCATAATCTATCTCGATTGACCCTATTATGCATAACTAGGAAACAGAGATGACTAATCACTTCTACCACCATACAACAGCTAAAAATACCTTTCAAATCCTTATGACATTTCTGCTCCATTTTGAATCGTAGAAACTTTAGAGCCCTATGTGGATAAAGTCTATGCTGGGGGAAGAATGAGAGTAGAAAACTAGCTGTACCTCTCTACCTCTGCTCTTCGTAGCTCAGCAAGACCTGATTCTCCACAGATACAAATTGTATTGGGAACTTACATGGTGCAAACTAAATGGAGAAAGACTTTCTTCTCTTGTCTCATAACACTAGTATTTTGAACCAGGGCTTATCCAACAGAATTGGTAGTAGATGCTAAGGAAAAAAAAAAAAAAAAGCTTTCTTAGCACAATCTAAAACTGATCTGTGGAATTCCATAAAATGTGTGATTCGGCCACTAACTAGAAAGCTTTAAAATATAATAACAACACTCAGAAGAGCAAGTTATTGCTTTAAAAAGCTTTACTTGCAAGTCTCCCAAAGCTTATTGTTGGCCACATTCTTGAGAATTTTCCGTGTTACTAAAAACCCAATTTTAATACAATCTAAGGGTTCATGTTTTTTTTTTCCAGAAAGAACAACCCCCTGTATTTACGTACTAGTAGGTAGCATTAATGGGGGGGGGGAGGATATTAATTGGATATAAGAACATGATCTATTAAAATTGTTTCTTTTTTTTTAATGTCTAAAGCTGGATAAGGACCGTTTGTCTACGATAGAGCGAGATAACTATTTCTTGCTGAAGAAGATATCTTATATCATGAAGACTGAAGGAAGAATAGATAATAAAAATGAATATAAAGCCAAAAGGTAAGGCTTGGTATAAAAATGATGAACAATTATTCAGTTGTAATGACTGTAAATATTACTCTACCTGAGCGCCCTTCTGCCCTCCTGCTGTGTCCTTCCCACGCTCCATGGTTACTGGACATGTATACTTTTTGAAAAATGTTTTGCGGTTTACAAAGTTAAGGGATCAAACAGCAACCAGCTCTAAAATAAAAGTTCCTTTCTTGCACTTTCCCAGGTTGGACTCCCTAATTTCTGCATCAGCTATTGTTATAACAGTGTGAAATTGCATTAGTGGTTATATCATTTGCCTGTGAGGTACAGAACCACGGCTTTGAAACCCAGCAGTACCTTTTTTTTTTTTTTAACTTTTTATTTGCCTGAGCTACAACTTGCATCATTTCATCATTTTTGCTGAAGAAAGGTTTCCTCGCAACTTCCAAATAACCTAAATGAATAAGTATTGCAAAGGACTTATTACTCCATTTATTGGGGGCCAGGAAAAAGAAAAAGAGCTCCAGCATTTTACTGGTGCACCAGTGGACTAATGAAGAAAAAAAAAACAGGATAAAGAAAAAAATTAAAATGTTTCTGCTGAGTTTCAAACTGGTAACCTTATGCATATTATAACTCCTATGCTACTGAGACACTACCGTAAGTGTACCAGTACTGTAATTACAGATTAGGGATATTAGGGAGCTAAACCAGGAAAAATCAAGAAAGACATTCTAATGTTAAAGGTGGTTGCTATGTACGCATGAATACGCATTTTGATCTTTTAACTTTGCACACTGCATTAAGATTTTGAAAAAGTATAGATAAGTAATAAACAAAAATAAGAATTATTTTGATGATGTATAGCTACCATCCTAACTAAGAGGATGCTTTCATGCTTCACATGTAACTAGATCAGTTAAAGTTCATTATATCAAAACCTGGGAAGGTTCTTCTGGCAGGCCATTCAGTTCAGTAGCCCAAGATAAAATGGCTGTGGGGGGCAAAGAATTTCCTTTGTTGCACACAGTCGCCAATCGAAGTGCAGGAATTTGCCTAGACGGAAGTAAATGCAACAGGTAAATTGGACAGCACAATTTGAACTGGCACAACCCAAAAAATACTACTTTTGATGAAAAGCATCAAAACTTGAGTGGAGGGTATATTCATAGTGGGTTGGGTGAAAGTACAGCATAACCTTGTCTGTTCCTACCTCCAGTGGCCTGTACTCACACAACAGGGCAATTAGTGTGGATCAGCCATAAGTCAAGCTCCATTGGGAATATTGTGTCCAGTCCTGGATACTACATTTTTAAAATAAAACTGATAAATGGAAACATGCCCAGAAAAGAGTAACTGGATTGGCAAAATGTGAGGATCAGTTTATGGTAAAATTAACTGGAAGCAAATTCAGAAGGACCTGATTTTTTTTTAATCCGTTCAATCATGTCCGATTCTCGGAGACTGCCTGGACACGTCCCTGCAGTTTTCTTGGCAAGACTTTTCAGAAGTGACTTGACCTTGCCTCCTTCCTAGGCCTGAGAGAAAGTGACTGGCCCAAGGTCACCCGGCTGGCTTTGCACCTAGGCAGGACTAGAACTCACAGTCTCCCGGTTTTAACTGGAAGCAAATTCAGAATTTGTCTTCAAATATTGGAAAAAACTGTAATGCAAAAGACGATAAAGATCTGTTTTATGTTGCTCCTGAGAGCAAGACAAGAACCAATTAGTACAATTATAAAGAATTAGTATTGATCACAACTGATCACAAAAGCATCTTTAAATTCTGTAATATTGTGAAAACAAGCAATTTACATTTATGAAGATATCCATTGACCAAGAAGGTCTAGATCTCTGTTTCGCAGACTTTTCCTCTACTTGGCAAAGCTCAGCAGAGTCCACTTCAGTGGTCCTTCTTTTTTAAAACAAGCCTGCTTAATATGTAGTATAAAACCAGCCATGGCCTGGTTTATACAGCATGCTAAGCCATAGTTTGCTCAACCACAGACTGTTGAATATAGCAGTTGACTTAGTTCATGTATTGTCTTGGGCTGGTTTACAAATTACAACAGCTAGATTCACACAACTCACTAAGCTACTGCTTAATGCAATATATGAACTCAGTCACTGAATCAGATACACTATTAATAAAGTGCAAGTAAATAAGCAGATAATGGACTGTTAACCGATTCAGTACTAATTTGCAACTGACTGGGGGGTTTCTTTTCAGCCTTTGCCAACTTGCAGTATTTCAGATGTTTTACACTAGAACTTCAATCATCTCCAGCCATAGTGGAAGATAAACAACAGCTTGAGCTACAGCAATATGAGGGTAACAGAAGAGAGCCATGATTTCAGTTTAATTTCTTTAGGATTAACTTACGGTGCTTAGGACAGAGTAGTAAGAAAAAATCATTTTCATTTACCATTTTGAGGGTGGGATGGAATGACTTTCTCTTTTAATGCTTAAATGATTAATTGATTGCACAGGGTTTCTTCCCCCCACCCCCTTAGTTTAAACAGAGAAAAACGAGAGCAAGAATTATTCAGAATACACCAAGAAAATTGTGCCATTCTGGAAAGAATTGCAAAGTGTGAATCTTGGTACAGTGTCCAGAAATGGAACGAAGATTGGCAAAAGACTGAAAACTACATGAGCAGTATTACAAGATATCCTCAAGGACTGTGCAAGTTGCAGATTCAAAAGGTAATCACTGCTGTTAATTATATACATACCACACAGTTCTGTAGGTCTGCATCTCTAGGTCTTCTGTAAGCTGTACGTCTTGCAGTTTCTAGTGCAGAAAAGAATTGTGCCAATGAAAAGCTGGAAAATTCCATAATTGTTCCAGTAAAGGTAGAAAAGAGAGGGGTGTCAAAGCCTTAATAGAACGGAAGTATCCTATCTTATAAATTATGTTATGTTATCCACCAGCAAAAACCTGAATAACATTTACTAAACCTATGCTTAGTTCAGGTAGTTTAGTGGATTCTAACTCGCTATGTTTATAAAATATTTACCTATTAAAGTACGAATATAGAGATCATGGGATATAGAGACCTGCTGAGATGGTAATGTGCTTAATCGGTAATTCTGTTTTGTAATAGTAATTTCTGTGCTTAATCGGTAATTCTGTTTTGTAATAGTAATTTCTGTTTAATTACTATTAAATAATAATGTTAACGATATCATGAAGAATTTAGCTAAGGGAACTCAATGTACAAGCACACAACCAGGGATTACACTGGAATGGATTTCTTGAGGAGGCCCTTAATCTCTGAATGATGTATAATAGGAAAGGATGTTTGTGGATAGAGGAAGACCCTGATCATCTCTGTGCTGCGGGATCCGTGGAATGCCGGGATTAATTTTTCCTGCCTGCAGCATGGATAGACTGAGGTCTCAAAGTGAAAGTGAAAATATTTCAATTGCCTTTTATTTTATTTTAGTAATAAGAAAAATGTGTCTGTATCAGTGTACCTATCAGATGCTTATTTTCATAAATAATCAGAATGTCATTTATCATGCTGAAATACATGCCATAAAGTGCTATAACTACAATAAAACATTTCATATATATTTCATATATGTACTGTATATGTGTGTGTATATACTGTACATAAACATACTGTACATACACAGGCACAAACTTGTTTCAGTTGCAGATTCTTATTTTTTTAAGTTTGTACCTTCCTTCAAAGATCAAGGCAACATACATGTTCTTGATTCTGCCCCTTCAGACTAAAATCGTATCTTCATGGGCCCTCCCTTGCCCTTCAACTGCCAAAAAGTTGTTCTAATCATTTGGTCTCTTAGGCTTCCCATCCTCTCTGTCTTCTCCTTTCTGCAATCTATAAAGGATCATTTTATGTTTTCTAACCCACTAAATCCTGGCAAAGTGGAAACTTTGTGGGGAATGGAATGAAAATGAGACAGGCGTAGCTGCTAGATGAAAGGATGGGGTTGATGCTTCCTCAAGCAGGAGGAAGAACATCACAGGAACAAAGAAGGAAAGTACTGAATGGGAAAAAAGAGAAGACATTTCAGTAACACAGGTCTAATGAACAAATAACCATTTCAGTATTGGCCATATTTTGTATGCATATGAAAATAATTGTTGCTTCACAGTATTATTTTTGATTATTCATAAGTAATTACTGAACCTTTGAACCTCTCATTAAGGAAGCAACATTCCAAACCGGTTCATACTGACAGCCAGTGTCAAGATTTGGAACGACTCATGTTGCTGGTTATGTGAAGCTCCATACATAGAAATGTGCACATACATCTAAGTATGCCTAAGATTATGGGACCCCAGTTTTGGAATAAAAATTAGTCATTAGTTAAAAATATTAGTTATCTTTTTTTTCTTTTTATCCAAGACAAAATTCTATTAGCACTGAAATTATGCAATCCACTTGCTTCTCCCATCCCTCTAAGGTCAGATTTTATGTTCCCAAGTAATACCTTCAATCCTGGTCTGCTCCAAAGATCAACAAAAGTAATTCTTAGATGTTGAAGACATGGAAAGGCACTTCCCCTTCAAAAGGATTTTAAGACTTTTATCTTCATGCAATGAATAGCTTGAAAGGAATAAACTTCAAGTTGCAGTTCTGTCTCTACCTTACATTAATCACAAATCTCAAAACATTTCTAAAGCACACATTCCTGAGCCAAGCATCTTCCTGAGCATCTTTTGCAAGAAAGCAAAGATAGTTGTTCCACACCTGTGAATACCCATCAGTTCAATTAAATTACAGTTCAATTAAATCAAATTAAATAGCATTGGGAAGAGGTCTCAACAAGTCTGAGCAACCAGAAAAGGACCAATATTGTCATATCTTGTGATTGTTACAGTTGTAATAGAATCTGTATTCTTAGAGTTAAAATGATCTAGTAACATTTTAACATGTAACAATTAACATTTGCAAAGATCATTCAAAATCTATCCTTTTGTCTTAAGAAAATGAAGCCATTTTCAAACATAAGCGTTTATAATTTATTATCATACAGGAACAACATAAGAAAATGCATAAAAAAAGACTGAAAAATAACAGACTGAAAGATGGACATCTGACAGATAAGCAAGAAGAAGGAATAGAACTAATCCACCAAAACAAAGAACTGAATGAGGATCATCAAGGAGAAAATCGAGTAGAAAAGGCTTAATTTCAGCTCTTACATTGGCAGTTCGGACAATGGATATAAGACACTGGAAGTTCTGATGTATAGGAAATAATTACTGGGAAATTACTATGGTTATAGATGTTAGATATACAGTATCTCATAGGTGAGTAATGTTCACACCAGATATTAAAAATAACATATTAGCAAGCTAATTAGATTGGCCATCTTAAGCATCTTTGAAAAATAAATTTCATTTAAATTAGTGGCAATTACTTCCAAGAAAGCTAGTTAAGGCTGTACATTATTTATGCGATAGCCAGAACCTTCTTTTCTAAAATAAATGTCATGGTATTAATGAAAATTACAACAGGATGGATGGATGGGCAGACAGACAGATATTTACAGCTGAGGCTGAAGGGTGTTAATCATTAAGGGAAATTTCTTATGTGATTTATACTCAGTATTCACTCTTAAGGAATTAATTAATTAATAAGTATATCATTAATAAAACACAATTCTGATGCTCTACTGTAATAATTTTTACATCATCTAGTGGCTTTTCCTTAAAAGTATTGTGAATTGTATTGTTGGCACTATGGGATCCAGAAATGTACCATTTTCTGTGCTCCTGGCAATGCAATCCAGTGCTTCTTTACTTGTGTGAAATATGAATTAAAACTCAATCCTTGGTGACTTCATAAACACATCTGTGTAGTTTTCTTGGCAACAATATAAAATTCTAACCTACAGCCCTGGAATTCCCTGGTGGTTTCCTATTTAAATACTAACCAGAACCTTATTTTTTCAATATCAGCCAAAGTGCTCCCAAACCTAGCTGGGCTCAAATGGGGATTAAATGTATGTGCAATTAAACATATTGTATATGCAGCATATATTTTTTCCTTTCTCTGGTTACAAAAAAATGGATGCAGGTTTAGTTACAAAGCAGACCCAGTGATTTCAGCTATATATAAATAATTCTGAATCCACCTCAGAGAGTAGTAGTAAAACCATCATGTTATAATATGATAATTTAAGTACCTATGGCAAAAGTGCTCAAGACTTAACACCTGGATTCTTTCATCACATCCGTCAAAAAACATATATCAATGTATTGGTCCCATTGCTGTGAATGCAACTGAACAAAGTTTCAGCACATTCCATGTCTGACTTGTGCAACAGGCATAGTGCATTCACACTAATACAATTGCAATAGTGCGAGTTCCTACATCAGTGCACATTGTAGACATTTGGCAACATGAAATTGCATTGCTTTTGCAGTTAAATATATTTGATTTTTGCCTAGGACGTGGAACCATAGGCTGAGGCCTATTTATAGCTCAACAAATACACTAAAAGTTTTGATGTACCTTATATTAAAGAACAAAGAACAGACAAATTACAGACACATCATAAAATGAAATGACAGTTGGCGAGCTGTAATCCTTCCTTCTGAATACTATAAACACACTTTGGTTGGCAATGTTGGACTCCTAAATGAGATTAAAGAGTGTTGGCTTGGATCATGTGTCTTTTCCCTCACTTAAAGAAAACCACCCGCAGGAATGGATTTGCAATGCTGACAGTAGGCTTCTGTTCTGAGAAGATCCAAAATATACAGAAGCAGAAATTCCAACAAGGGTTTTTTGTCACCAAAAAAAAAAAAAAAAAAAATCATAGTTGAAACATAACCCAGAAAGGTATAGAAGTAAACTCTCCAATTCTTCGGTCGTCAGTAAAACAGACTTTCCATAATAACCTAGCAGTTTGTTTGTTTTTAAAAAGGATATTTTACTTTCCAAATGCTTACTTTCTGTATGGGAGTAGGTGATTGTTTGTTTGTCTGGAGTCATAGATTATCTTAAGTCAAAAATCAGAACAGTGTACCAGAATTCAATTTAACAAGAACAAATATCATAAAAGGCGAGCTTTACAAACCATCACATTCATCAAAATCTATTTTTGTCTATGCATTGCTCAGACCCAGTGCCTTCTACTAGCAAAAATTGTGGGATGGCACAATTTTTTTCAACTTTTCCAGAAATTTCACTAGATGAATCCTTTAGTTAAAACAAAACAAAACAACCCTTACAGCCTCTGATTAGGGTCAGCCCAAGCATTTGCTAATATGGAAAGAAATTAGCTCTACACACCAAGCAAGGTATAAAGGACAACTCAGGAAAACATGTGCAACTGCCTATTTCTAAGCACACATATACACATTCCTGGTAAGGGATATAATTAAAGTCCCCTTCCATGATCTTTGAGAGTAGGGCATAAAATCTTTCTGTGTGAACGCCCTTCTACAATGAGCAGGAAAATACTATAAAAATATTTAGAGATGGTATAAAATACACTGCCAAGGTTTCTGTAGTGGTGATACACATTTCAAATCTGTTCTTTGTAAATCTAAATCAAGCACTTTCTCTTTAATCTCAGCAATGGCTTTTTTTGGACTGAAGTTGAATAAGGTGTGGATTGAGAGCCCACAGTAGACCAGACCAGAGACTATGTGCTCCTTCCCGGAGGAGATGTATTTATCTGCCAGAATGAGCTGGGCCAGGGACTTAACCCTAAATATTTGTTTCAACTAATACTTCAAATGGCATTCCTGTACACAACTTAGGCTGCGTAAGGCATTAAGCCATGCAAAGCTTTATATACACAGTGATGAGCAACTTGAATTGGATTTGGAATGTAACTAGTAACCAGAGATGCTAGTTGTCAATACAGGGATAATAAAGATAATCAAAGAGAGCATGAGTCACAAAAACTAGGTCTTCACATAGGAATGCACCTATTTAGTTATTTGATTGATTCATTCATTTATATAGCAACTCATCTAAACTGCATAATTTTGGGTGGCTTACAACAATTTAAAAACTACCAAAAAAACAAAACAAAAACCCAACCCACAATCAAACCATATTTTAAAAATGCATAAAACCAATACAATTAAGTTAACAAAATCCAGCCAGGATCTAAAAGCAATCTATATTCAACATAACCACTGCATAGGATCCACTACACCTCTAGATCCCATGCCCAGTGGCACAGCCATGTCTTTAAGGCCTTTAAGAAAGCCAGTAGAGTTGGGGCCAATCTGACCTCTGGGGGGATGATGTTCCACAGAGTGCTGTGACCATGACAGGAGAGCAACATAGCTCCCCCAGCTCCAGATCACACTGCCACTGCTCCAACAAGAAAATCAGATCTGGCGTCAGACCACTGACACTTGTTGGGTCCTGGATGACCTGGGACAGGCCCATGGCTGTCATGGTGTCCCTGAACTCCTGAGATATCTCTCATTCCACTTCCATGGAAGACAGATTGAAGTCCCCCAGGACCATAAGCCTAAGAAACTCCACCGCCAACCCCGTTATAGAGTCAAGGAGCTCAGGCAGGGAGGTTTCTACACAGCAGGGAGGCTAGTACAATAGCAATAATCCCAACTGATCCCTGTTCATAGCTTATTGAATAAATCACATTTGACTGACTACAAAGTATGCTGAAATCATAAACCATAGTTTCATTTCACATAACACACTAATCCTAAACCAAATCATATTAAGGTTTAACATGATGTTTGAACCAAATTTGTATATATCAGGGAATGGAGGGACTTTAGTTCTCTGTTCCAATGACCACATCTACTTTTCTGGGGCAGTATCCTTGTTCTTAAGAGCTTCTCAGGTCTCCAGTTTCTCTGCTTTCTTTGAAATGAGGAAAGGTAAGGTATCAGGGACAAATCAACAGGAAGAAAAGTCACAGTAACCACAAAGACAACTAGCCTGACTGAGATCATCTATACAAACAGCTGAGAAGATTTCTAATTGTTCTTTCCTAAATTGTTCTTTAATTAGAGAAATTCAAAGTGGCACACCAGCAAGACGTCATTTATTAATTGCCAGCCACCTAATATATTACATTCATATATTTTATGTTCTTCAGGCTAGAATGTCAGGATACACCAAAATCTACTGGGGTAGCAACTACTGTCTTGAAATAAGCAGAGAGCAATTACATCTATAAAGAACGTATTCACACACACCCCCAGTTCTCAAAGATAGCTTTGTAATTCCAAACCATATGGTTCCAGTATTACTTGACTCTTAGTCTTCAGCAAAATTTAAATAAATCACCTGCTCTGTTTGTTAATTCTGTTCTTAAAATACATTATCATGTTGCTTGCTACTATTTATCAGTATCTCTCCATTAGGGTGCTTCTTCTGGTGGAAAAAAATTGGAAGACAAATTTAAAAATCAATGAAGCTTATAAATCACATTCAACGCTATTGAAATGATGGCTAGTTAGTAAACATAAATATAATGGATTTAAAGAATTTTTTTGTAGTCTGTGGCAAACGGTCCAATATTAGTCCTGTTCTGAGCTCCATGTTCATCCTAAGCCACATATTCAGAAAAAAAGGGAAAACTGCTGCCCCTACAGCTAGTATAGATTTAGTTGCAGAAATTTAAATTCTTTTCACTAACATGCACTTCAAAATGCCTCATCCAGTCTGGGGGAGAGGGAGGGAATTGTGGGGGAGGGAATGGGAAAATAAAGCAAGCAGGGGAAAGGGAATATATGGGAAGACAGCGAAATGGATGGGGCTTTAGGAATCCAGACTGTGCTTTGGGATGAGGCAGTGGAGAATGTGAACACTCATGTTCACCTGCAAGCCCTGAGCTGCAAGTGAGTGATTCATGTAGTTCTCTGAGCTAAAAATGTTACCCAGATATGATTTATGATTATTTACCATGGTATAGCACCATCATGTGGTTATGTGGCTCCTTCATGAAAATAGGCTGACTTCACAATTTAGTACTATTCCTATTAAACTAGTATTTCCCAACCTTCACTCACCAGATAGTATTTTCTAGAAAATACTTCCCTTCTTTCTCCTCCTCTTCTTCCTCTATTATATATTGGATGTTTAGGGGTTTTTTTTTTATTCTAGCTATTTTAAGCCATGCTAATTGATCATATCTAAATTGTATCAACATTATATTTGCACATCCTGTGCTTGTTTCTTCCGTTT